TATTATAATATATAATTTTTATAGTTTTAAAATATTAATTTATTAATAATACTATTTCAAGTCAACTTGAGTCAAGTTGAGTTTGAGTCAAATTTAAATCGAGTCGAGTTAAATATTTAACTCGACTTGAATTTGATTTGACTCGCAAATCATCGAGTCAAAAAAATATAAACTTAACTTGATTTAAACTCGACTCAGCTTATCTGACTCGTGAGTTAACTTGATTCATCTGGAACTCTAATTATTCTTTTAAATAATTTAATCAGATTAATTAGGTCAAATAAAAATTAAAATCAGATCAGATTTTTATTTGACTTAATCTAATTCTTAGTTTAGTAATTTGATTAATTTGACCTAAACTAATCTATTCAAAACTTAATAATCAATTTATTTTTTAAAAATAATAGCATATATTTTTAACTATTTAATTTTTTATTAATTAAATAATTTAATTATAAGATAAAAATTTTAATTACGAAATATATTTTTAAAATTTTTTAAATGCAAATACAATTGCTAAAAATAAAATAAATGATAAAATAGTTAATTATAGTAATATAAAATATGCTGAATATAATTTTGATTTAAATGAATGATAGAATGAATAAAAAATAGTTTTTAAATTTATCTGAATTAACATAAAAATATCTTTCTATAACTGCTACATCTATTACAAGTAATTACTTAATTTTAAATATAGAAAATCATATTTCAATCTGATGTATATATATACCTTGATCTAAATTTACTTTGTTACATAATTTTTTTGAAATAAAATATAAAAGTTTAAAAATAGTTTTTCCAGAAAAAATTTAATTATAATGATTAATAAAATATAATAACTGAAATAATTAGTCAAAATAATTTGTTATAATTGCAAATAATAAAAATAAGTTTGAATATTTTTTTTATTTTAATTAATAAAATAATTTAAATTAACAATTTAATTCTTTCTACTAATCAGTTATTTAGATGATTTGAATAATTTAAATAATTATTATTAATTATTAATTAATTTAAATAATAATTTAATTATAAATTTATAAGATTAATCAAATACAAAATTTTTGACTAACTCAAACTTTTATAAAATACAATTAATTTTTCATAAACTTCATTATATATTTCAGATAGTTCAAGATTAAAGATAGCACCTCAATTAGTTGCAATAGGTGACAAATAAGCATCACAAAGTTGCAACAAATTGCAATATTATTAAAATTTAAGTTGTAACAGGTGACAAATAAGTATCATAATGTTATAACGCCATCTTTATTCAAGATTTTTAAAAATTTAATATAATAATAGATTCTTTATATTAAAAATTATAATTAAATTTTCTACTAACTTTTATAATGATTCTCTTTTAAAATTAATAATATATTTACTTTAGAAAATTGAAATATTCTCAAAATATATCTTCTCTTAAGATACTTTAATATTTAATTTTATTTTGATTATCAATTTATTTTTAGTTATATTTTATTTTATAAAATGAATTCTAAAAATTTATTCAAAGCTAAATAAACTGATTATAAATTTATTTTTATTATTAATATTTTTTGGTATTTGACATATTACAAAATTTTATTTAAATTTAGAAAATACTTGACTAAGATAAGAAGGTATTAAGCAATTGCTATTGAATAATTTGATTACTTAATACTTAAAAAAAAGTGATGCTACTACAAGAATATTTCATAGTAAATTTAAGAAAAATATTTGTATTATTATTTTTATCTATTATATGATGTAAGAAGTCTATACTTAATAATATAAATGTAATACTTAAAAATCTTTCAACTTTTTAAATAAATAAAATTTAGAAAAAATAAAATGATAATTTTATTTTTTGAGATAAACTTTATTAAATTGTTAGTCAGTTTTTCAAAATTAATTTTATATAAAAAATTATAAACATTTAAAATTAAATAATTTTTAAATAATCATTCTGAATTTGAAATATATATTATTGATTAAAATTCAAATTAATATTATGGTAATCAATTTTAATATTAGCCTAAATTATTATAATTTAAAATAATATATAAATAAAATAATTAATATCTTTTTTTTATTGATCAATTACTAATCATATGATATAACATTCACAAAAAATTTGAAATATTATTAAGTTAAGACTTCTAACACTATATTAGAAAAGTAAATATTTTTTTTAATATATATATTAATTGTCACTCTAACTGCTATTCATAAAAGATCTAAAACTTTAGATATTCTTTAATAATTAATAGCTATTTCAAATTAATTTAAAATTAAATATCTAATTTTTTTGCCAAATTAAGAAGTCTAAAATTAGAAAATAATATAATTAAAATTAAATAAAAATTCTTAAAAGTATGTATATTCAAATGATATTAATTGAAAAAATTATATTTGATATCTACAGTCAACTCTTGATATAACGAACTCTATGTCCTAGACCTTAACTTTGCTATAAGGCTATAGTGAAGATTTTAAGAAATTTGATTGGCCAATTCACTATAACAAGAGTATTTTTATTATATTTGTTCAAAAAATTCGTTATATCTAGAGTTCACTATATTAAGAATTTACTGTACTTTAGTGTGAATTTTCAAATTTCTAATTAAATTATATTTGACAGTAAATTGTATTTTAACAGATATAATTATTTTATTAGTAATTTATAATAAATGTTAAATTAACATAATTAATTAATGTCAAAGTATAAATAAAAAATACCTATTTTTTAAATTATTTCTAATATATAAAATATCTTTATTAATAAAAATAAATAATATTTATTAATATTTAATAATAAAAGTTATTTTTAATATATAAAAATTCTAAATTTTAAATCTTTAATCTTTATTAAAACTCTATAAATAAAAATTATAATTTTATTATAATTAAAAATTCTAATAAAGAATTATATTTTTAAATAAAATTTGTAATATAAATTAATAATTTTAAATATATACTATATTATTTATTATAGTATATAAATTTAATAAAATAAATTAATTGTAAAGGTTTAAAAGCAAAATTTGCTTACTTATTTATTATATATTTTCTTCTGATTTACTTTTATAAAAAGTTATAATTTATTTTAATAATATTAATCATAATATAATATTATAAATTTTTATAATTTTTATGATTTATTAAGAAATTTTATAACTTTTATTAGTGATAAAATGATTTAATCAGTTCTAAACATATAAACTTTTAAAAAATTTTTACAGTGCAAAACTTCTATAATAGAAATTTAAAAAAGTATTAATAAAATTAAAATTTCTTAAAGTGATAAAATATATATTAAAATATATTTTTTATTAATTATTTTATTACTAAATAAAATTAATTTTTTTTTTTTTTTAAGTTGATAAATAAATTTGCCTATTAGAAATCTAAAGAATAATAAATTTATCAAATTATATAAAAAAAATGTAAAGATTAAATTTAATGAATCTTTAAAAATTATTATTAAAATAAATTAGAAAAATAATAATTTAATTACATTTTGTTAAAATCTTTACTAAAATTAACAATTCTTTTAAATTTTTTTTTTAAATTAATTATTAACCTGTTTACTTTTACAAATGAGATCTAGGTATATGCATAGTATATTAAAATTGACAGATAATCACTTAACACAAAATTTATTTAATATGAAAATGTTCTTCATCCATATGATTAGTTATTATATAAATTATTTTAAATAATTAAACTTTAAATAATACAATTGAATAATTTAAATATTTTACTGTGACTAGATAATAGGAAAGATTTTCTTTCCGAAATTTACATTTATCTTTATAAAAATGAAACAATAAGAATTTTGATATGTCTAAAACTTCTTTTACCATTTCTAATATTATATGTTCATCTTTACACAGTCATAAAAATGTAAAACATTTCGGGAGATAATAATAGGACTAACAAAAAGCCATATCATTCACAATCTTGTTGAATCTGATGTTACACTTGATTTTTCACGACATAAAACAATTGCAGGTGCATCTGCCTATCAGCATCAATCTACCAAGCGTGAGCGAGAACAACCAAAAATGAGCGATGTCCGGTTAGACCCGGATATACCAATCTCGATAATCCTTCATTTGATTTTATATTTAGCACCAACTTTTCCATTGTTAAGTGCTACACCTATTTTTTCATTTAAGTTTATTTGTAGGTTTAAAAGTTTTCATTTTCATTAAAATCATCTCCGTTATCATGAACATTATTGAAAATTATAAGGCAAAAGCGTCTTTCAGTTAGAAGATTTTCGATTTGGATTAAATTAATTTTTTTTTGTAACGTGATCATATGATTATTCGTAGAGCAATCTATGGAAATCGGATAATTAAAGTAATTTTTAATTTTATAGATATTAATAGTACAATTTTTACCCAAAATTAAAAACAGAATAAATACTTTGAGAAAAATAATATTAATATTGTTTAGATTAAATTGGTAATAATGAAGATTTTCCACTCAGGTATTGCTAATAATAAAAACAAAAAAGAAAATACGATAAAAATGAAAATAATAATATAAAGATATCCAAAATTCTAAAAATTATATAAGAAAAATTACAAATAAATTTATATCAAATGAAAAATTATGTAAACAGTTCTTGATTAAAAATAGATCCCTTAAATTAACAGGGTTGGTAAAGAAGAGATGTATTCTTATGAATATAATCTAAAATACAAATTTCTAAAAAAAAAAAAACTACGTAACCCGTTTAACCTCCTTGAATTTTCAATCTTTTTTTTTTTTTAAAATTGAGAATTCATTGCCCTAAATAACTGGTCCACCAGGACCCACTTGTGGCTGCACAGGTTGTGATTGCTGCTGCTGTTGTTCGTGTTGCTTGGAACTAGATTCTTTTAAAGCCAACAGTTGTTTAGAGCGGAAAGCCTCATAATGGATTTGAGCTGTGGTTTCAATAAGATCTTGAAGGTGGGTTCTGGAAAAATTGGCAGCACGACATTAGTGAAACATTGATTCGATGAATATTTTTTGAGGGGTTAACAAGAATATCAAATTACCGTGTGAGAAAATCTCGAAGATGAACAAACTCACAATGATCTTCATTTTCCACTAAACAATATTACATTTCATTAGATTATTAATTGGCAATTAATATAAGTTTAATGAATTATTTTAATCATCCTACTTACCATTGATAACGCCCCACCTATTTCTTCGCCCGCGAACGGATTTACCATCAATAACTACATTTTTTTCAGATCCAACAATAGCAAAAGGAATCATTTGCTATTTGACAAAAATAATGTTAAAATCCTATCTACACACCTATAAATATATATATATATATTTTACTATGTTGATTACCTTGATACGTTCGTTGAGGGCTCGCTCATTATCATCAAGCTCGTCAGAGTCATAAGGATATAACTTGATGTTATGAAAAGCCAATTCGGACTTTATCTAAAATGATGGCAGAGAATTTAAAGTTAAAGTTAAAATCACAAACTTATTAATTATACGATAAGCGGATACATACTCTTTGCTTGAAGGCTACACGTTCTTCCATTGTAAGAGAATCAGATTTGGCAATAACTGGAACAACATTGACAACCTCAGAAAGTTTTTTGAGAACCACAATGTCAATGGGTTTCAGTCTTTAAATAAATGAAGTGAATTAGTAAAAAATATATATATATATATAATTTAACGCGTACAAGCTAAACTACTAAATATACATACGCATGACCGGTTGGAGAAATAAAAAACAAGCAACAATGAATTCTAGTGTCTTGAATATAGCGCTCACGCATAGCGGTAAGTTCTTTACGCAAATAAGCACTATGTTGGTCTTTAATGTACTTAATGATTGGTTCCCAGCTATTTCAATTAAAACAAAGTTAAATATGTATAATGTGTTGAGTTATTAACGAAGGGGTAAATAAAATCAATGCAAACCAATTTTCGTTGTTGACTTGATCACCGTAACCGGGAGTATCGACAATATTAAGTCTTAGACGAATGCCATTCTCTTCAATTACTATAATAAATAATATTAATTAATTTTTTTTGTTTTTCTGAATAAAAGATTGTCATATATGTATTAAAACCAACGCATTATATAGTTGGCTATACAATTGAACACTTTATATCTAATTTCTTATTTTTACTTTGAACATATTAATTATGTCCATGAAACTATAGATCGTGAAAAATTACAAAGGGTTCTCTAATAAAAATTAACGTACAATGCGACACGGTTTGAATTTCAGTTGTTTGTCTGAATGGTTCTTCGGAGCTGGTACGACCTTTACTGTCAATCAAGTGGGCAGCAAAGATAGTGTTGATAAGGGTTGATTTACCAAGTCCAGTTTGCCCTATATTATGTACAATAAGGACGAAAAGTTAGCTCAAAATAAATGATGACTGAATATATATATATATTTATACACTCTTGCATAAAACATACCGACAACAATGACGTTGAACTGAAAGCCACGCTTTAGCAACTTCTTTTCAATTTGTCTTGTGATGGAATCAAAACCTACGTAGCCATTGAGGTTCATCTAAATTTTTCAAAAAAGATTTTCGGGCTTAAGCATGGATGATGGCTTATTTAGCTCGAACAATTGCTTTCGAAAACAAACCAACCTTTTGAGGCTCAGCGATAGTTACCATTTTTGAAAAGGTTTTAATATTATATTATTGCGACTAATGAAATAAATTTGATAAATAATTTGGGAAGTTATTTGGGAGGTAGAAGGAACGTATGAAGTGAGTTTCGCTCTATGTGAGAAGCGCTGGGTATATGAAAAACAGTTAAAGACCACTCTATGAAGTGACACTATGTAAAAACTCAACTTGATGAGAACGAATCATCGATTGTTTTTTAATACATGGTATGACAAAAATAATTATCGTGTCGTGTTTGGTCACCAGGGATGCAATGATCGGTTAAAAAATATGCGCGTTCCAAAATGAAAAAGAATTAAGTTTTCAATGGTGACTGTGAGATTCGAACTCACGCCTCTTTCGAGACCGCAACTTGAGTGCGGCGCCTTAGACCAACTCGGCCAAGTCACCTTTATTTATTAATTTGAAACTTAAATTTTTTTAAAGAATTTAAGGATCTATCCACATTTAGTAAAGAAAAGTTTCACAAATCCAACTTTCGAAAGTGATCATCTGACACTCATAAAGTGTTTTATGGTATTTATTAAAAACAAAAAAATTAGATTTTAAAATTTAAATTCAAACGGAAACCCTAATTAAATAATATTAATAAGAAAAATCTATGCGGTGATATCACCTTTCATATTTTTATATGAATTCTGAAGCGGTTTATGATTTATTTCCTATTATTATTAATAGGTGATATATGAAAGGTTTTGGAATTACGTTTATTATCATAGGTAAAGTTTTAATACCAAGTAACAAAAAAATTGCTTTATTTGCTATCAAGAAATGTCTTTACTCCTTTAATTTCAATGGAAACTTTGCTACGCTATTAAATACAAATATAAATTTATTCTAATTCAATATGTGAGTTAATCTATTAATTGGTTAAACATACAATTCAGTTAAGGATGGTAACGTATTTCGGCCGCGGTTAAAGGTCAATAGCCATGACAAAATACCAATTATCATGGACAGCATAATTTACAATATTTTGATACCTCTGAAATAAAAATATTATATTATACAAAATTTTTGTTACATTTAAAGAACATTAAAAAAATTTTTTTTTGTTACAGAAACTGATATTCGATTTGATGATCAACCAACAAACATAAATACGATCTAAATCAACAAAAAAAAAAAAATAATTCAATTTTAAAATTTTTTTGAATCTTAAAAATGACAACATACGAAAGAATTGAACAACAAATACAAAAAGTAGAAGGAAAGTACGAAGCGGTGAATAATAAATTGAAGAGGTTAGACGAGAGGTTAGACGAACGAAGTAAAGAAGAATTTGAGGAAGTTGAATAGTCAGATAAGACGTGAAAAAGATGAGGAGGAAAGGAAAATTTTGGAAGGGGATATAGGAGATATGGAAGAGAAGAGAGACGAATTGGAGAAAGAAAAGGAAGAGAAGACATGAATGATAAATGGGAGCAATTTCAGGATGCATTATTAGTTGAATTCAGTGAAGGAAAAGTTAAAGTTAAAGAGGAGTTACAATTAAAAGAGCATTATTAAATAGTTATATCCTACTATTAAAATTTAATTAAAAGACATAAATTAAAGGAAAAACTATTTGATACTTTAAAGTAGCTTCAGATGAAAAAATGATTACATTATGAATTTACTTCTTTTAATTGATAATTCTTTAACAATAGATGATAATTCTAAAAAAAGTATTCAAAATAAATTTGAGTTTTGGAATTTTACAATCATTATTATAGATTATAACATTATTTTTCTGAAATTAAAAAGTATAGATCATTAGATTGTAATATATGTAAACCTTGAGATATAATTCTGAAATTTGACTCAAAATTTATAATTTTTCTGATTCAATTCTAATATAATGATAATAAATATAAAAGTTTTGAAGAATTATATGGTCAAAAAATTACAGAAGAATTTAAACTTTTCTTAAATAAAACAAAGAAGTCAAAGAATGAAATAGGCTTTAAATCTAGTACACAAAATTGTAAAAATATTAGCACTTTGATTCAATATGAAAAATGTGACAAATAGCATATAATTTATTCAAAATCAAAATTATTTTCAAAAGAAAAAGAAGAATTAACAAGATTTTTAGATAGAATTCAATATATATATGAATACTTTTTATGATTTAACTAGTTTTACAAATATGCAAGATTTTAACAGTATAAATAATTATAAAAAAGATTATTCTCTATTGTTAAAGTTAATAATACATTAATATGTAATGGTTCTATTAAAGCTTCATAAATATTCAAATAAATTATTTAAAAAAGCATTTTGTTTTAATTATAACATAAAATGTGAAGAATATATAAATTATGGTAAATATTTTTCATATTATGAAGAATACTATACATTAGTTAAAAATAAAAAAAAAGAAAAAAAAAAAGAAATTTGTAACTAATAAATAAAGAAATGTTAAATTAATGAATTATAAGAAAGAAATTATATATAATAATAATATAATAAAATTTTAATCTATCAATAAAATTACATTTTGAAGTCATATGATAAACTTTTTATATATAAACTTTTTTTTGTTAAAATTTAAAAAAGTGATCCAGTCAGATGACATGAATTAAAAAATTAAAATTGTGTGATCTTACAAAATAACTATGTAATAATTTCTTCATAAATGATTAATGTTTGTATTAATAAAAAAACTCTTTCATCTTTTCCATTTGATTATATTTTTTAGAAATATAAAAAATTTATTTTTTATTATTTTTTAATAAAACTTTATTTATTTGTATTTACGAAAGACTTTAGATAGCTAAATAAACATAATAAGTAAACCAATTACTGCTTTAGGAAACGCAAAGACATGCCATTTATCTATACTTTTTAACAACATTTTTATTCTATCTTGTTGAAGGAACTTTGATCAAAAAAGAAATTTATTTTCACATAAGTTTAGTCTATGTTTAACAATCTTTAGTAAAGAAGTCTGAAAGATATTTTTTTAGATAGAATACACCTTAGCAATGCTACCTTACTTTTTGAAAGCTATTTAGTATAAATTCTATCTTAAGGACATCATCACGTTAGTCTTGTTAGAACTTTCTTTCTATTTGAGACTGAAAATATGTAATAACAATATACACTCTTATCCTTTTTGAAATTAGAAACCTATAAAAAGTGATCTCTTCTAATATTCTTTATTTTCTTTTCTTTCTGCAGAATCTTTTTTGATAATCACCTAATTTAGAAAGATTATACAATAAATAACACCAATCATTTTATTTGATAATGATTTTATCTTAAATAATAATCACGCAATCTTATGTGATATTCTTTTCTTTTATATTTTTCACGTAATTTTCAAAATTTTTCATAAACAAATATAGAGTTATTGTAGAAATAGTATTTTCACTAAAATGATTCTAGAAATATTAAGTAAATAGAGAGTTATGCCTTCTGTAAATTAGCAATATAGGCTAATAATTAGAAGAAAAAGATTGGATTTTTTATTACACCTATCACCTTTAATTACAAATGGTTATTTTTAACCTTTTTTTACTAATTTTTCTCTGTTAAACAAGTGATATTCTACAAGGATTTTTTTTTTTTGAGATTATTTTACTAATCAATTTGGTTTAGATAATAACAGAAAATGTGTGTATAATATATCTTACTTATTGCATTGAGTAATCTTATACTAAAAGTATAATAGAGATTTTAGGTAGTATTTACTAATTTTTAAAATAGATTCTAGTTAGTTTTCTTTTTTGTAGTTTTTTTTTTCCTTTCTTCATTTTCTCATTTCCTTTTTTAAAAATAGTTAATTAGATATTATTACTTATTTTCTTTTAAGTTTTCATATTTAGGATTTTTGGTTTTTTTTTTCTTCAAAAATGTTTTTTAATTTTCTTTTTATTCTCTTGTTAATAATTTTTGAGATATGATATGTGTTGTGTCTTTTAATTAAGGAAAAGCATGACTAACAAAGTGCTTAAATAGTTTAAAGATATGTTTAATTATTTTTCTTTTTATTTTAGTTAATATTTTATATTATTTTTTTACTTAAATAAATTAAACTCTCTGAGTTGTTAAAGAAAAAAAATGTTTGTATTGTATTAAAGTAATCACTACTTAATTATTTTATAATAATCCTATAATTAATGACTAAATTATTCCATAAAAATATTTTAATAAATATTTTATTATTGTTATATTTCCTTTCTTAATTTCTTCTCCTTGAAGTCTTTCTTTGGTATATCTATTTTAAGCTTGTATCATGTGTTATTAGGATATTCTATTATCTATATAAATCAAAACATTATTAAGTATCATATAAAAATTTATGATTAGAGATTTTCATATTAAATTAATTTAAAATAATTTAAATTTGCTTATAATAAATTTTCTATTAAAACTAATATATTTTTAAACTTCAATTTTTTTGACTTCTTTTTATTAATTTCTTTTTAAATTTTGTGAAAGTATTTTAAATAACTTTTTTTTTATGTAATTAACTGCTTTTTTTTTTAAAAAAACTATTCATATTTCAAATATAATAAAATAATTATTTCTGAATAATTTCTTTATAGAAAATGTTTTGCTTTTTTAAACTTTTTCAAAAAAATAAGATGTCATTAAGATTTCTAGATGAAACCTAAAGGTTTTGCAAGTCATCTAAATAGAAAAAGTAAAATTTAACAAAATTATATAAAATCTTATTAAAAAATTTGCAAAATTCTAGAAAAGGTAAAACTATATCAAAGCTTATAAAAATGCGAAACTATATTTGAACTTTATCATTATTTAAAAGCTACTATAAGTATATAAAATTGAATTTTATAAATTTCAGATTATTTAATAAAAAGAATTTCAAGCTGTACTCGTCAATTAAAAAAATTCATAAGATATAAGTTCAAAAATTAGAAGTAAATAAAATGACAAAAATTAAAAAATTAATGAAATTTTAAATAAGATAGATGAATTAAAACTAAATAATGCTTTTTATTAACTCTAATTTATTTAAAAATATTAACAAATTCAGTATTAAAAAGGTCTAGAAGCAAAGAAAAATTAACTATTATATAACTTAAATTTGAAGAATAATATAATTCTAGATAATGCAGAAAGAGTTAGAAAAGTGGATTAATTATTTAAATAATTTTTTTCTAAAAAAAATTATAATTGTCTTTATTACTATATAAACTCTATAATTAATATTAAAAAACTAAAAGTTAAAAAGTATTACAATTTTTAAAATATCTGACAAAAAAATTATTTAACCAATATAACTAACAGAAATTAAATGATCATCAAAAAAAAATCTCTAATAGTAAATTTTTATATGATACTTAATAAAATTTTAAATTACATAGTTAATGAAACACTTTAACATATTATCATAGCTAATATTTTTTTAATATTCTAGTAATCAGTTATTTGAGTATCCTAACTAGAGCACAATATGTTTTATATATTATCGCATTCAGAATCAAACCTTTACTATTTTTCAAGCCAGTTTGAATTATTGAATCATTAGCAATCATAATAAATTATACAAAGTGAATGCTATATAGCTAATCCTTAATACTATTATAGTATGATAAAATTTAGGCTAATTACTGAAAAGAAGAATCTTTAATAACCTAATTTGAAATAGCTGTCTAACATAATTGTTATATCTAGGCTGTCAAAATTATTCTAATAATTGAACTCAAATCTCTCAAATCCTAGTTAGTACTATAGATACTATAGTGTTTTAATTAGAAATCACCTATAACTTATGATATTTATTTAATCCAAGTTATAAAATATTTACCATTGATCTATTATGATCTATTATCAGGAATGACTCCCTTACAGATAATGCGATACTTGCCTATTATAGATTAGCCCTTTTAAATACAAGTTTTAAACTCAATTAGTTTTATGTATAATGTGATCACTTATATAATTACACAAGTTTACCATATTCTAAAAATTTGTAATCTAATTGTTAATTATTATTATATATATTTTATATTATTATAATATTCTAAATATAACTTTGTAAAAAATTTTAAAAAAGTTTCCTTTTGTTTTGATTGATCAACTAAAAATATTTTTTAATTAATTATCTTTTGATTAATTAATCAGATTAATTAATGCTTATCCTTAATTCTATTTTATATTTTAAAAATAAGGTTTTATAATAGAAGATTATCTAATCAATTTCATTATGCATCAGTTAATCACAGAAAATGTCTTCTGATAAAAAATTATTTCAAAAATACATTATGTGACATATTACTCGACTGCTAAAAAAATAATGAAAATAAGCCAAAAATACAATAAAATCTTATGTAAATTCTACTGGATATTTTTAAGATTATTGGACTAGAGTTTTAATTTCCAATTTTAGAGATTTCTTAAATATCATTAGAAATTTACATTTAACTTTGATAAGGAAAAAGAACATTTATAATATAAGTCAAATCTTAAGCGAATTGTAAAGTACTATAATTCTGAAATGCAAATATATGAAAAAATAACAAAAGCTTTGAAAAATAAAGATACATATATATTCAAGAATACTCAAGGTTGAACATATTGTTAACTACTATTATAAATTTCAGTTTGTGATAAGAAAGGTTTCAGCTCATTAATATCTTTATAATGTTTATGCTAGTATTACTATATTATCAACTACTATTATGAGTTTTGGCTTATAATATGAAATGTTTTAGTTCTGCTGATAAATATATACACCCTTTTTGGATCATATATGCTCATATCTCTAATTGTATACTTTATATAAGAAAGCCTTTATATTATAGCATACTCACTATTTATTATTTTTTGCTTTGTTATTTTTACTTACTATCTATAAAGTCAATATCTAATAAAGTAAAAAGCTTCTAGAACAAGAATGAGAAAGTGAATAAATATAAAGTTACAAAATTAGCTGAGGAGAAGAAGATAGAGTTTCTCAAAGACATATTATATTACAGTTAAATTAAAACTATATCAGTGATGTTGGCTGTAGTAATCCATATAAATTACATTTGTTATAATTATAATTTTAATTTAATAATTGTTAAATTAATGACTGTTATCTGTTTTACTTAATATTTTTTTTTAGGTATACAATGTCACAAAAAAATATCAAAGTGATCATAAATAAAGATAGCATTTCAATTAGTTTCAACAGGTGATAAATAAACATCACAATATTGCAACGAATTGCAACATTATTGAAATTTAAGTTGTAACAGATGACAAATAAGCATTACAATATTGTAACACCATCTTTAATCATAAACATTTTATAAGAATATCAGCAATTATTTCTAAGATTAATTGAAAATAATATTGAATTTTATAAAAGCAATATTAATACTGAAGAATTGAAAGAAATTTATGAGAATCTATAAGATCATTTATTACTATACAAAAGAATAAAGAGTACATTTATAAAGAACCTGTAACATCATCTATTAAATATAATAAAAATTCTATAGAGTAAATTATTAATTACAATAGTCATTCAAATTTTAATGCATATTATAGGATCCTTGATTTCTTGCAAAATCATTATATTAAAGAAAATTCATAATGTACATGATATTTTATCAAGATGCTTAAGTGATCTTGTAATAATCATGAACTTTTTTAGAAACTAAATAGGAAGAGTAATCATAATCTAATTCTTTTTCTATATCACAAATCAGTCTTCAGCTTGTTTCTACAACAAATTTCATTCTATAGTTCAGATACTTAAAGAGTTTAATAAAAAATAACAAGATTCTCAATAGTAATACTAATTACATGTTATCTCTCATAAATATCTGATAGCTTTTCAGATGACCTAAAAAAATTATAATGATATTGATGTACTCACAATTGTTTTAATAATTTAATGGTAGTTCTTTATATGTCTGAGGATCCAAGAGTTAACCATTAGAAAATTATATTAAAGCTAAATTTTAAACAAAAAATTTTTTTAATGCTTTTACTTTATATAATGGTTTATTTCAGTATAGGAGTACCATTATCTTTTTCCAGGTCATGAAAGAGATGGTTCATTACAATCTGACTTCGCTGCTATAGTAAACAATCAGACAAATGCAGTTTCCATTTTTTACTAATTAAGTTTGAGTATAATGGATTCAAAAACTATAAATATGAGGCAGTTGCAGTATTAGAAGTACATAAATTCAATTGTATTTTATCATTAGGACACTTTTTAACAGAAGATAAAGTAAATAAAATACTTTGTATATTGGATTAGTCAATGAGACAAGCATTTGATTTAGCACTCTTGAACCTTTGTTTAACCAACAACAGTCAACACGTTTATACATTTACATCAGGAATAAACTCATCTTAAATCTTAAGTCCAATAATGCCAAGACTGATATTGAAAATGTGTTGCAATTAATTTCATACCTGCGAGAAATTGTCTGTCAAGGTGAGTTTGTATTGAAATCATGCTAAAAATTCAACATCAATCTGAAAGCAGTACTTTTATCCCTCCCAAAATTCATTCTACCATCTAAAAGAGTAAAATATGATTTCTTGAAAAATCCGAGAGTTATATAGTTCTTGATTGTAATGATATCTTATAGAGAATTTATTTTCAACTTTCATAGAAAATATTGTGGCAATCCTATAAATAAATTTTTTTTTTTTGCAGATTATAATAGAATTCTAATTTTTAGTAATGCCAAGTGTTCACTTTATTCGCTTTATCCGATTTTGTAATAGTATGCTTCTCATTCATTTAACATTTTTAATTTTTAATGTAAATAAATTAATTTAATGGACGATCAGTCACGTTACTAATTTAAAAATGTGAATTTTTTTTTTTTCCCCCAAACATTTTGTTCTGAACTAAAATTGTCGGCCAATAATTGACGATAAAATAAATGATAATTTGGGCCAAACAATGCACTTTATTACCCTTTTCATTTTATATCAATAACATTTAAGCTTATATATCAAAGTGCCATCTTTATTTTCTTCAAACATGAGATTTAATTGATTTTGACTCCTTGTGTGATTCAGAGCTTGCCAATAATGGAAATATTTCAAGCCTTAGTAATAATACCAGCTTTCGATACTGGATACAAGACGGGTTTTCTATAACGTTAAAATTTTCACAAGATTTCAAATATTTAAAAAACTTCCCACATCAATGTGATGATTGTTGAAGATCCTCAAAATTCTTTTTTGAGAAAAATCTCTCGAGAGCAAAAAAAAAAAAAAATTCAATCCATCCAAATCCTTGCCTAAAATGATTCTTTGAAATTCATTCTCCAATGTTCAATATAATCTTTTTACCGTGAGGAGATCCACAAGTCATCTTTAAATAAAATTATTGGCCCGGGCAATTCTACAACTACCGGAACGAAGATCTTTTTACCCCTTGTCTTAATAAATGAAATTTCCACAAGATCATAAACAAAAGATTTGAATGAGTAATAGTTCACATTGAGATTAACGAAACATTAAAACTGGTTGGTACTTGAAAATGTATGTGTATCATTTATCAGGCAGCAAGATGTCGCATAACATCTTGCTGATTATGGTTATACGCACTGATAATTTTTTACTTTTTTGTAGTCTTTGCTATACACCTGACAAACTTTGTCCATTTTTATAAAACCTTGTACGGAAAATCACTAGGAAAATCTCTGTTGATACAACCTCCCTGTGTTATAAAATATATATATATATACGGTCATTTATCTTTTGAAATCGTTTTTGCTATCAAACATATATTTAGGTTTTTTCATGTTAACTGTTAGGTCGTTTTGGCTTATTATGCATTAAAAGAAGAGACATTACATTACCGCAAAAAAAAAAAAAAAAAAAAAAAAAAAAAAAAAAAACTATTCCGCGAGCAAAGACGCGACAAGCGGTTTTCTTAATTAATTGCCTGTGTTAAAAAAAAACTTTAAATTAAAAAAATTTTTTTATCATGGACATTAAAGCAGAGTCGAAGATAATTGAAGAAAGCACGGGGAATAGTGATAATAGCGGTATAACCTCAAATAACGAGGACATTCAACACGAAAATATTGAAGAAACCACAATTAGTGTACAACTTCATGAAGAACCTCCTCTCAGTATAATAAGCAACACGACCCAGCAGGTCTCTGAATTACCTATAATATCGACCAATTTAAATATTACCGCCGCGTCAAAAATCACCTCGGGCGCCGCTGTTCCGATGTCTACCATTGGAAGTAATGTCGCAGCACACCATAAGTCAGATTCACGTCACCTGAGGTAATGTCAATACCTTTAAAAAAAATCTGGGTCTGGGAATTATTTGAGAATAGTGTAATTTGTAGGAATTCAATTGGGAGAAAAATGTCTGCTCAAACAGTAAATTGAGTAGAAATGTTTCAACGTCCGATCCCTTAAACAATTGGTAAGAATACTAGAGAATCAAGAGGTCGAACCTTACCGCGAAAATTTTATATACACCCGCTTAGCAAAAAAAAAAAAAAAATACCCGAAAAAGAAGCCTGCTGGTCAGTTTTTTTGGATTTTTTTTTTTAAAAAAAAAAAACTTTTCAGGATTCTATTATTGTAAAACGAATTTTGATTTTAATTCAAATAAAATTCATTTTAATTCGTTAATATCTAATAGTAGTATTAACAATAAAATTCATCGATTCAAAAAAAAAAAATTTAAATTATTCAGGAATATTATAGTTTAAGAATCTTAAAAAGGTTTCTTACGTTGAGTAATTGGCTGACTAAAAAAAAAAGAAAGAAAAAAAAAGAAAAACGAAAAAAAAGCATTAGTATAATATTAATATATGGGTGACTTGCGATCTTTTATTACAATTTTACATTCTGTCACGTGATCCTAAATTTTTTTCGTGTTTTATATTTGGGTTGCTTTCAACATTGAACTATATATAGAACATACTCTGATGTAGATACCATGAAACTTGCCAACCGTCCACGTGAACCTCGTAGATCTGCACCTGTCCCATTCAGACCAACTACAGAATTTGATGTACAAAAAAAACCGCGACCAATTTCAAATATTATTTTACCAACTTCAATGAAGGGAACTGGTTCTATCATATCTCCAAATTCTGAACAAGAAATTCATACAAAGATATTAAATTGGCCAACACAAAATTATGATGATAAATTACAATCACAAAAAACTTTTGTTGGTTTGAAGGCAAAGGACAATTTAGTAGATGATGGCGAGATAATATTTGATACTACGCCATCGGATCAAATAGGCGACATTCCGCAACCTTCCTCCTCCTTAGCTCAACAGTCTATTTTCTACATTCCTCAGGGTCGCTTATCGATGACCGCGGCAATGCACAAAGTGACAAATCCGTCACGCGCACCCGAGGTACCTCCACTCATTCCAATAACTTATGGTACTGAAATATTTGATCAAATTCAATCGGATGATGATCCAAGACTTATAGTCTGGTCAATATCAAGAGCTGAAGAAAGAAAACAAGGATCAACCGTCTCCTCTGTAACAAATGTTTCTTCTTCGAAAAGATGGAGTATACATGGAACATTGGGGAGAGCGGGCAAAACAATATGTGGTGCTGGGTTAAAAGACAAAAAGGATTATAGGTTTGAACAAAAACCATCAGGTAATAGAAAATCTAATCCAACGACGGAAAAGGTGATAATGGCTGCAACAATTGAAAAATTGATTGAGAAATTAACAAGTGGAATTGGTAATTTTTTTTTATAATTTGATCTTTTAGGATGAATATAATATTATTATTTGGTTGCTTTTATTAATGTTTAAAAGGTTGAATTGATTTTTTACCAGACTATACTTTTTTGACGGATTTTTTTCTTACATATCGGACATTTATAACTCCATTACAATTATGTAATTTACTAATCTTGAGATTTGATTGGGCATTAGAGGACAATAATGAACAAAGAAGAGTAGTAAGGGTCAGGTATGTCCAGAAATTTCAGTTTAATCTTTTAAAAAACTTGCAAGTTTTATAACAATTCTGACTTCATTTGTATTTAGAACCTTTGTGACTCTACGACATTGGCTTCTTAATTATTTTGCGTATGATTTCGTTCCATGTCGTGCTTTGAGATCTAAGCTTATATCTTATCTAAATTATTTACCTTCACATCCTCTGGTTCAAAATTCGCCTCATGATCAACGAATAGTGCATGGGTTAAAAAGGGTAATTAGAAGATTAAAAAGAATCTATTACCGGAAAGGTATTATGGGAATTTTAAAAAGTGGAACCGGTAGAAAGAGTATCAAGGAATTAAAAGAAATGGCGGAAGCTAATGATTCAACAAATAAAGGACAACATCAACATTCTGAACAATATTTGGACGATGATGTAATATCATCTGAACATAGTGGTACCGGTGTGGATACTAATACTACCTTACCATCTAAGGATAAATCAAGAAAGATGATAGTGCGCGGCTCAACGTCTACATTAGGCTCAATATTAACTCCGGGAACAACTGATTCTGAGGGTGAAGAATTTGATACACTTGGTCATCACTTTTCTTCTCGTTCAAGAATTTCACGACCCGCAGTATCCCGTCAAAGTTTCGAGTTCTCAAGTAGTAATTCACAACATAGTGATGATGATTATTCTTTGAAACGTACATATGAAAATCCGATCTCGATTTTTTATAACGAGAAATGGGCAAGGTCTTTACCCACAGTAACGAGTGAAATTGATAGTAATTGGGAACAAGGCGTGAACATTGAAAAGGTTCATGAATTCGATCTTCCTATAAAACAAAGAGAAGAAATTGTGAATGTTAAAAAAAAGTTAAGGAGCAGTTCTATGAATGATCTATCTCAAGAAAGAAAGGGATTTAATAATACTTGGGAACATAATTTAAGAGATGATGACGTAATAGTGGAGGAAGAAGAGCCACCACCCCTTCCACCAAGGAAACCTAGGAGACATACGATTACTTCTGCTCAACCGATACCAACCATTCAACCACCACCTTCATTCTTTAAAGGTGGATTTTTTCCGACAAGAAAGCCAAAAAAAGTTGTTTCTCAAGAAACCATGAGTGAAAAATTTCAAGATCGTACTCGTAAAAAAAGAAGTTTATCGCTTTCTGAAGCAATTTGTGGAATTGTTGAAAATGATGACGAAGAAGATGATGATGAATATGATTTGTCTCAGATTGATCATGCAGGAGGAGTTGCTAGAAGAAATTCTTCCCCTGCATATATTGAATCACCTTCACTTCGGTCTGATCAACAGGAAAAAGGTGAAACATCAAGGCGCCGGATAAGTGGTCGTCCCTCATGGCCTCAAAAAATGTCTGCAACCATGGGTAAATTTGCTAAAGTTTTATTTAGTGAAAAGAACAAGATACCCGGTACTTCAGGAAGTATTCCGGGAAGGACGGGTGTAATTAAAATGTTTTGTGCTAACCCTACCGAAGTTGATACTATGGATGGTTCTGATGATTCTGTACCAATTGAAAATTTAAATAATTTTACTGAAGAAGATTTTCCTATTCATGTGGACGGATTTTCTTATGTTGATGAGTCTCTTGAAGAAGAATTCTATGACACACACCGTCAAGAAGATTTTGCCGGTACAGAAGAAAAGTTTAATTGGGATGATGATGATGATGATGATGAAGGAGAATTGCAAGAAGAAGAAGTGGAGGAGGAAGAAATGAGTTTTGATGAGTCATTAGCAGCTGAAACAAATCTTCCTCCGATACCATCTACTTCATTTCAAGAACAGGAATCAAGCGATAACGACAAGAATTTGGAAGGACAAGAAAATCGACATAATAGATCTACACGTCGTAATCTTAAAATGTGGAGTTTAGGTCCAGTTTTAGAAGTAGACGATGATGAGGAAACTTCAATTTCTCAAATTTCACCACTTGATGCTTCATTAGTTTCAGAATTAAGAAAGGAGGAAGAAGAAATGGCCACATCATCTGAAACCAAGAAAACTGAAGACCCTCAATCCGCACGTAAACGTCGTCGACTTGCTAAAGTTTTTGAAGTGGAAGAAGAGAGTGGTGGTGAAACAAATTTTGTTAAGCCATTACCATCAGAGCCGTCTGGAGATGAAATGGACATTGATATTGAGGAGGAAGAGGGGGAACATGATCATTCCTCTCATAGGCTTCGACGACTTCCTAAAGTACGTGATTTACGATCTGTTGTCACACTCAAAGATATTGAAGAAAAATCGGGTAAGCGGATTTCTTGGAGTACATTTTCGTCACTTGGTACCTTAGGTATTAATGATACTAGCACAGAAGCCAAATTATCATATACATTAACACCATCTTCATCAAAATTAAACCGCAAAGAATCCGTCAAATCCTCAGTGTTTGAAACTCAAGGAGAAAAAGGAAAATCAAAGGAAGTTGAACGAGAGTCCTTTAAAGGAAAAGATAAATCAATTATAAAACCTTCGTCTTCTAGGCCAGTCTCCAAGAGTAGTAACGTTACTCCGAGGTCACCTAGAAAAAGCTCGGAATCCTCAGTAAAACGTATTGTAATCACCGAACCTTCCTCAAAAAAGCTTACAGGTCAACATGATATCACTACTGAACCTAGTAGCAGCAGTAGCCAGGCTCCAATTAAGAACCTTTTTTATACAAGAACTTCTTTAGATAAACCTTTACCGCCACTTCCTTTTTCAGATGATCAATCAAGAAAGCCCCCTTCAATTTCTTCAACATTAAATTCTCAATCACCATATAGGTCTTTCATATTAAACTATCGGTCAGAAGTTATCGCAAAACAATTTTGTTTAATTGAACGTGATCTTTTACTGAAGGTTAATTGGGAAGAATTGGTTCAAGTTGGTTATACGAGTAACGATAAAGATACGGAAAGTGTTCAAGAACTTGAAGGTGAAAAGAAAAAGAAGGATGTTAAAGGAAAAGGTAAAGCAAAAGAAGTTGAAGAAGAGCAAGAATTTCTTAAAGGGGAACCAAGGAAAAGGGTTCGGGATAATGGTGTTGATAAAGTAATTGAAAGATTCAATTTGGTAAGTTTTTCAGAAGTTGATTCCTCCCTATCTACAATATAAAACTAATTTCACTTTGGAATTAACAAGTCATGTGATTGGGTCGCAACTGAAATCGTACTTACTAGATCTATGGAAGATCGAATACGAGTAATTGAAAAATTTATACGAATTGCGCAGGTATATACTATTCTTTCTTGGCTATATTTCATCGGTCTTCTTTTATGAATCTAACACTTTTCAAAATATACATATATATATATATATATATATGTATATATATACTGTATATATACGTATAATTTTTTATTAGAAATGCCTTCAATTTTCAAATTTTGCTACATTAACACAAATTCTTCTTGGATTACAATCTTCGCCCGTAGAAAGATTGAGGAGAACATGGACAAGAATTAGAAAAGAAGATTTACGTATACTTAAAGAACTAAATGAATATATTTCACCTTTCGGTAATTGGAAAGTAATTAGAGAAGCTATGAGACAATCTATCGAAGATGCCACTATATTAAAAGCATTGATCAAACAAGGAAAAAGACGCGGCTCCGATGTTCGTAAAATTAATACTGGATGTATTCCATTTTTAGGTTCGCATTAGAATGAAGTTTTGACTCCTTTTTTATTATTATTATTTATTTTTATTAAAGCAAATAATACTTTTACTAGGATTGTATTTGTCGGATTTGGTTTTCAATGCAGCAGTACCATCGTTTATTGATCCACCATCACAACCTCCAACTCCATCATCACCGTCATTTAATGTACCATCATCACCTTTATACCATCAACAGCCGCTTATTAATTTTCATAAACACCGTACAACAGCCACAATAATTAAAAGGATATTAACATTTCAGAACTTATCAAGAGAATATAGTTTTTACGTTGACAAAGAAATCTATGACAAATGTTTTGGATTAAAAGGGTTCGAAGCAACCAAATTAGTTGTAATGGATTTAGATGTTGATGATTTTGTTTAATTATATCATTAATGTTATTGGTTCTTTTTACTATATTGGATGTTATTAAAGTTTGTTTTTTTAATTTTCTAGGTAATAGGTATTAATTTTTAATTGAAAAAAAATTATCATATTATTTTTTATACTTAATATATTTCAAACAATTGTAAATCAGCATCATTTCAACGAGATGTATATATATATGTGTGTGTGGCAAAAAAAAAAACAATTATCAATGTATATTTATTAGGACATCATTTAGTATCGATATATATTTTCTTAATATCAATGTTAATAAAAGTATATATAATATATTATCGTAGCAAGAGTTTCTAAAAGGAAAATTTAGCAAGGCCAAAGTACAGGAAGGATTGGTCCCAAATAAGGTTACTTATAAAACCAAATCAACACATTTCGACTAAAAATTTCGCAACGATTATTTATGATAAATCCATTGTTTATAACGAAAATCGTCTTGCCTCTCCCTTTAAAATGGTGACCTTAGAGAGAAGATAAGGTACAGGTAAAGATTTTTAAAACGAAATTTATGTGCGCGATGCACGAATATATTCTGCGCAGAATACCTTCATCAATTTGTACAAATCATTTTGTTAGTGGTTAACGATCAATCATATTAGATGAGAAATTATTATTATTTCTCCGTAATAAAAAATGTCTACTTTAGGATAGGGTTAAATCAAAATTTGGTGTAGAGCCTTTGACGCAATTCATTTCGTTAGTCTTTTTTCTCTCTGAGAATAATTGTCTTTATTGATTATAACAATATGTAAACCGTCCTATTTATTTATTCACGAAAGGAAAACAAACTAAGTTTTTTTACATGCTTATTAATTAAATGATGCGTTTACAACGACTGCAAATATGGATGAACCGGCTCAGATAATATCAATCATGTCCATGATATATTATCCAATATGCGAATCAAAATACTGCAAGAACGAATCGGTATTGTAAGATGTTGTGTGAGGATTATAATCATTGTTGTTTTCATTCAGTTTTTTTTCAATGGTCTCTGAGCTTTACGCTTGGACTATTATTGAAGCGAAGGAACGGTATCGAACTATTGTCGTTTTTATTTCATCGTAGCGAGTAATAGTAAAAAAAAATATCCTTGTATCAAGATTTTTTCAATTTGAAATTTTTTGTTTGCCATCTTTTAGTTTTGATCTTATTCTTTCCAACATAAAATTATTTTCCACTAAAATGTAAGGAGAAATTTCTAATGAAAATGCGAGATCATTTAAAGAGATTGCCGAATTACCTTTTCCATTATGAGAATCATCTGATCTAATCTTAATTATACAATCATGAACAATACTTTTCAGATGTGCCTAAAACATTATAGAAAGTTGCTTTAGTGTATGTTGATAGTGAAAGGAAAACCTTTAAATCATAGTTTATGAAAGATTGAAAACCTCCAATGCAAAAATCATCAAATTTGCACAATCTTCAGACACACCACCAATTAATCCATTATCCAAAGCGATTTCTGTCATTTTTGTATAAATAGATTCGAATTCTGAAATTCCTTTCTCCTCCTCACTCATTAAAGAAGAAGAGGTTAAAGGTTGTGAATGATCAACGAAATTTCCGTCATCCAATGCCTTTTTAGGAAACTTTTTCTCAAATAACATTAAACTTGGATTTGGATGTGAAGTTGTTTGATTATCTCGTGTATTCTAATATAAGGAATATGTTAAAAAGAAATAACAATAACTTAACGTAGGAATTAAACAAATTACTCACTTTTAAAATAACGCGTAATTTATCCCTTTCTTCCTTTCCCATTGTAGACATGAATTTTTCTAGAGATCTTTCGTTATAAGGTGATGATGCATATCTAACGTTATTCTGATTCGCTTTGCATGTATTCTTTAATATTATGCTCGCACGAATAAATTTATCATGTAAATGAACTATTTATAATACGATCATTGAAAATGTTAATATGCGGCATTTACTCTATACTTGTAACTAAAAAGAAAGCCAATTTTGAAACTTGTAACTTACCATATTCTTTTGATAATAAAGAATGCGCATAAAGATCCAATTCAACTTTATTTAGTTCCCCTTTAACGAACGATTGTATTGCTGACCAATATTTTTCCTTATTGATACCTAAAATTTCATCAAGAGAATTTTTTAATGAAATTGGATCAAGTTTTGTTACAGTTTTTCGTGTTGCAGAAGTAATTCGTGGTAATGACCTTCCAGAGGTTGTTTGAGAATTTGCAGGTGACATAATAAATGGTTTTTTGTCCCTCCTGCTGTCGGTCTTGTTGTTCTTGTCCCTGGTCTCGGTGTGCTGAACATGAAGGGTTTACTGTTCCTGAAATAGGTGATGATTGTGAAATATTAGAATTTATTGGTGTTGTTTGAAGAAATTCACGTTTAAAAGGTTTTTCTTTCCGCTTATTATTATTAAACATGATGGTTAATTTAAAAATTAAAATGATTTAAAATCGAGATATTTTTTTCGAAATGTCCCGTGTCACGAGATTGATCATCCTTTTTTTTTTTTATAAAAAACCTTATTTTGGGCAAGCTCTTACTTCATTCTGTCAGAACTTATTATTAAGAAAATGGGTTATGAAGCAGATAGGTACTAAAAATAAATTTTATATTTTCGTTGATCTTGTTTTGTTGGTTAAAGGTGTATTAACGACATGGAATTGAATCTTATTTAGTATAATATCACCTGAAGATAACATTCCAATTTATTTTCTTCGAAAAACATATGATGATTTAAGTTGGAATGGTTTCGTAGAAAGTGTACAATCGTTCATTAATGCGGTAATATTTTTAAATTTCTTTTATAATATTTTTATTACCTTTTTGAATTTAATTGATTGAATTTGATCTTTGAAATTTGAATTAAAAAAAGGTTGATTGGTCACAACCTTGGCTATGGACGTTATTAGGTTTTCACGTTATAACACTATTCACTATACTTAAATTACGAAATAATACAACCTCTTTAGCGGTAATAACATTTGGTTCAAGTAAGTTCAATATTTACATCTCTCCTTTATATTTATATATTCATCAAGTCATTTTTAACATTAAGATATTCTTAAAGTGTTATTGGTCGGTTTAGCTAAACCCATAAATACTTTAGCACACGATAATTGGCAAAAATTTTCCATAGATAATTATTTTGATAAAAGTGGTTTCTTCATTTCGATGGTATTCTCTTTTCCGCTATTATGTAATTCTATGTTTGGTATAGTAAGTATCTTCTAATTGATCAATTTGTTTTCTTTCTTTCATCGTTTTCATGGTTGATTGTTAGATTATTGATGAAATTTTCTTTTCATCAGGTATTGATACTAAATGAAGTGTTACATTTATTGAGAAAAGTTAAAATTGCACAAATTAAACATCAAAGAGCTAAAGTTAGTTTATTGGAAGAAAAAAGAAAAGAAAAACAAGATGATAAGAAACTTAAAAATAAGTAAATTATTAAGATACAGAAATTAATATTAATATTATTACTATTATTATTTTTACAATTATCTTTGATCTTGTAAAATATGTAAATAACTTTTAACTTAATTATTTTAAATTTTTTATTCATATTAATTTTTAAAATCTTTCAAAGAGATTATTTAATCAATTTTCATAGATTTATCATCAATGACTTGTTTCTTTTCAATAGTATTTTCAACATGCTGTTTAATAGTTGATAATGGGTCAGCCTTAAAAGCAGAATGTTGTAATACTTGATGAAACCTTTGAATCTCACTCTTCCTAAAATAAAATTTTTGTTTAGATATTTCAATCCAATTCCAAGGAAAGATAGAAACGGTGTACTCACGCAATATTCTTTCGCATCGATTTTGATTTTACGGGCTTCATGTTTAATCCTATATGTGAATTGGATTTCTTTTGTGTATTTTGATTTATGGATTCAAATTCTTTGTCAATATCAGGAAGAAATTCTTTCAACTCTAAAATATTTAATGTTGTTTGTTCTTCACAAATATCCATTTTTCGTGATTTTTTTTTTTTCTTGGATTTCTGTGTGGATTTCTTTGAAGGATCGAATTCTTTTCACAAATCATTAAAACTTTTGATCAATAATCGGTTGCATAATTATATTCTTTTTTTTAAAAAAACAAAAAAAAAAATTACGATTGTAATTTAGTGCCTTACTTTCTATCCATTTTTTATGCCGTTCTTTTGCTCTTTCTTTTTTGGTATGCGGTATTTCTGGAAGTAATTTTTCCTTTGAATTCGACTTTGTTTAGGAGGGAAATAATAAAAAGAGAATTAAAAACTTGAATGATTTATTTAAATTAAATGGCCCTTAAAGTAATAATAACTTACTTCCTCATTAAGAGCCGATCCAACTACAACCTTTTCTACTTTATCAGTCGATACTGCAAATTTCCTGTTGGAAACATTCGAGACATAATGAAGTGACTTGCGACTTCTTACTTTTGGCTATATATAATGTTGAAATGGAGCATAAATGGTATAAATAAATATTATGCTCAAACGTTAAGGCTAATTTTAAATCAAATCATGAAAATATTTTACCATTATTAATCTCGAGAAAAGAAAGAAAAAAAATGAACATTCAAATGCCAAAATTATCATGTGATAATTCGATCGTTAACCACCAATTATCTTCTCCTAGATTTCAGAGTCCAATCAGAATTCTAATCCTTATCAAAACTTTTCTTTTTTTTTTTTTTTGAGAAAACGTTTCAACATAAAAACAACGTAATAAAAATGTTAATAAACTTTTCAAAATTTATTGAAACAACAATTAAAGCTGTGACGTTACGCACCGTGAAAGCACCAGTACCGCCACCGATTATAATAAGACATAAGAGACGTCTTCCACCTATAAATGATAATTGTTTGCTTTTAACCGCGTTGAAAACTTATGGAAATTATAATACCTCTGATAAATCTCATCATACATTTACTCGCCTTGCGTTTCTTGGTGATAGTATCTTGGCGTATACTGGTACAAAAAAAATAATTTACCCAATTATTCCTTATTTTGAACGTGTATATCATATAAACCTAACATAATTTTTTTTTCCTTCCTTCCCCCCCCCCCCCCCCCCCCCCCCCCCCCCCCCCCCCCCCCCCCCCCCCCCCCCCCCCCCCCCCCCCCCCCCCCCC